TCACACACACACACACACACACACACACACACACACACACAAAAAAAAAAAAAAAACCCGGGGGGGGGAAGAAGATATAACAACTACAATTTCTTTGAAGGTGTTACAACAAGCAAATGGAAAGGACATTCTTGGGTGGGAGGGGGGAGAGGGAGGAGGGAGGGAGGTTTTGGTGATGGGTCATAATAATCAACCACATTGTATATTGACAAAATAAAAAAAAAAGAGCATCGTTTCTATGAAAGAATTATGTATACAATACCTATAATAATGGGGGAAATGGTACAATGTGTACCATTGTAGAAGGAAATAGGTTAGGTTTATTTGTAAAAAGGGTTTTTGTGGTTGAAAGTGGCGATACATTTTCTGCCTTTGGAAAAGGGGTTTGATATAAAATAAACAGGTGCTGTGTGGCTGTGTTTTGAAGTAAAGACTCAACAGTGAGCAGAGCTCTGTTTTCTTTCCAGGATGGGCTCCTTCTTTGCTCCCAGCCTCCCCGGCATCAATATCCTTCGACTCCACACCTCCATGTACTTTCAGTGCTGGGCCGTGATGTGTTGCAACGTTCCCGAGGCCAGAGTCTTCAAAGCTTCCAGATCAAATAATTTCTACCTGGGCATGCTTTTGCTCATCCTCTTCCTGTCCACCATGCCGGTCTTGTACATGATCGTATCCCTCCCACCATCTTTTGATTGTGGCCCCTTCAGGTCTCTTGTCTTTGAAATTCGAATTGGGCAAAGTGTTCTTTCAGGGGTAGAGGTGGGAGTGGCCACTCCTTGTATAAGATAATTTTTTTTCTCCCAAACATTGGCATATTTAGTTGGTAGAAATGAGATTCTTTGGGTATTCAGGCTCATGATGTGACATGGAGATTCTTAGACAAATCCCATCTATTTTCTCACTTGGGAGCCATAAAAGGAAAAATAACTTAAGCTGCTCCAGGCTCTGTCTGGGTAAAATATACATGATGAATCTGACCTGTTTCCAAATTTGGGAATAGCCAAGAGCCAGGTTTGATCACGCTGGTTTAAGAGTTTTCGTGATGCTCGGCCATCACATCTGGGCATAGTCAGATGTTCCTCCTGCTGACGTGGACCACCACCTTGGAACAAAAATAAAGGAGATTGCCCCACATGTATTCTGGGGGATGGAATCATTATTAAATAAAAACGAGTATAAAGAGGATCATACAATTTGTGACCCCAAATCCTACATGTTATTAAAAAAATTAAGAATGTTCCTCATATATATTCTCCCCAAGTATCACTCAAGTCAGTAATCAAATGTCAAGAAGGATCTTTGATACACATTGGACTTTTCTACAGTTCTTCATAACAGAGTTCTCTTTACGACACATATCAGAAAGCAAATTCCTTGGGATCTGGGGGATAAGATCCCCTAAAGGGCCTTAGATCTACCACATTCCCCCCAGAATCCTGGCATGTTGAGGCACCTGGTTAGCATGCTTTTGAGCTATTTCTCCTTTTCCATGAAAGAAATGAGAATGTGAAAACATGGTGCTGTATGGCCACATATAATTTCCCATTTATGCTGCAGACCCAACTTATTTAATTAAAGTCAAAAAGCGTGTTGCCCGCAGACTAAGTATTTTCACTCTAATAATTTTCTGAATTATTGATTTACCAGAAAAGAAAGAAAATGTTAAGTCAGTTGATAGAGCAAAAACTAGCTGGAGTTCTGTCATACTCAGGAAACTGAGGTTAACAAGCCCTGTTTATTTCATTGTGTGTGTGCACGCACGTGCACATGTGCGCTGTTTCCAAGTGGGCTGAAATAAATAATGCAGACAGTGACATCTGAAGACTAAACATGAAATTACAGTCTCAAAGAAGACATTTGTCTTAATAAATCCTTAATAAATCCCATAGTCCAATGTTCAAGAGATAAGCTATTCAAAGATTTTAGGTAACTGCAAATTATCTGTACAAATTAATATCTAGGATAAGTTTCAGGTGTGCTTTTAACTTTTTAATTGGAAGTTGATCCTTCTCAGTAAAATGTAGTAAAGGACCTTAGCTGTCTGTAAGCGAAACCACACAATGTAAACACAGAACTGAGTAGTGGTTACACAGATGTATTCAAATTTAAAATACTACTGAGTTAGGCATGTACAATGATTGCACAATTTTAGCTTTTTAAGCCCTAACTCCTCTGGCTTTCTTTATGTCACACACTGAGTTACTCTGACTTTAAATGAAAAAAAAAAAAAGTTTGTATCTAAAGCATAGTATCTGACTTTGTTCCAGAATTTTCTAATTTGAAAATTTAGGCAAAATTACTGCCTATATGAGTAATATCACTATGTTGAATCAAGGAAATTCAAATATTTTAGTGGAATGCTGGGAAAAGGGTATCTCCATGCTATTTAGATAGCGAATTTTTTCCTGTCATTTTCCTAATTTTGGACCAAAAGAATGTTTAGTTTGTTTATTTGTTTTAACTCCAAATTTGAAAGGATTGTTCTGCTCTAGAAATGAGGTGAGAGAGCATGTGTTAGTAGGATCCTTATGGCTGGCTGTCCTGAGGAATTCTGAGTTTGGGGTGGTTTGCCTAGCCTGCCTGGCAAAGGTTGGCTGACCCTGTTTGGATCTTGGGTGGGCAGCAAATTGGCAAACATGAACGTGAAGTAGGTTAATGGAGACATCACAGCGATGGCCAGTTGATCTCAGGTGCAGGAATGTTTTCAGGTGAGATGGCTATAGTACATGCATCCATTCAGCAAAGCCATTGGATGGAATATTCTAGTTTATTCTGGTTTTATAAGACCTGGCTAGGGAGGGTCAATTTTCCAGGAAATTATTCCAATGGGCTAATAAATGGATTTACTTTAAATAGTTAAACAATTTAAAAACTCTTTCTTTGATGTCTAGATGAAGATAATTCTTCTAATTGTTCCATAACATTTCCTGACACTTGATGTTTTTCCCCATCTCTGCCAGTAATTCCAAGCAATTTGTAGTCCTCTAGGTTCTCACATACCTATCTCCCTGCTTACATTATGCAATTTTATTTTTTATGTATTTATCTTACTGCAAAGGTAGTATGTGTTTATCTTAAAAAATCAGAAAATCCTGGAGACATTTTAACATGAAAAACAAAAACAAAATAAAACAAAACAAAAAAACGCTGCCCATAATTCCAAAGGCCTGAAATAACAATTCTCAATGTTTTGTCATTTTATGATCTGATTTTCCTTTTATGCAGATTTATTTTTTAAGTAAGCAAGATCATACACTAGGTGTTTGTTTATTAGAGCTTTAAAGGCTAACATTATATTGTGACAATGTTATTACATTACTCATTTGCAATTGTACTTGCTGTGTTTATTTTCCTTAATAGTCTAGTTGACTTCTCGTGATTGAGGACAGAGTGATTTTATCTCTATGAGTCTGGGACACAGTAGTGTGCTGGTTGATAACTTGAGTTAATAAATGAGTAATGACCGCTTATTGGGCACAAAACACTTTAGGAGATGTAGGATAAATCCATGTACTAAGCATAGATTATGATCCTGGGGAACTTACAGTCCAGCTGGAAGATGCATCCTCATAGACTGTTCTAATCTAGAGTGGATGGAGCTATGCCCACAGGAGAACTATTGGCTAAGTGCAGTAGCATATCACTTGAGCGTATAGTCACAGACAACTGGAAAGGAATGCTGAGAATATCGTGAAATGGAACACTCTGGCTAACCTGGCAGCAGAAGGGATTGCCAGGGATTTGTAGATGCTTTTATAATTTGCGTATAATGAAGTGATCTGTACTTCTTTCTTTGGTAAGAAAACTGACCTGGAAAAAGGTATCCAAGAATCCTCAGAGACTCTAGTGACTTTGCAGTGGGTCACACTGGCTGCTAAGAAGACTTTTGTGGGTAGGAATAATTTTGTAAAATTCCAGTCCCCTCCCCCCACCACATTTGTCAGATGTAACCTGAGATGCTAGAGAAGGGAGGATTGATTGTCTTACCTCGTGGGTCCTCCTTGCCTACTCCTTACCCTGTATTCAGTATGGTTGGGGAGGGAAGAGTATGGTCACTTAGAATGGAATGATGAAGAAGAAACGTTACTAGAATAAGTTGATGTAATCTTAAATGATCTGTAAGCTTCATTCCCCCTTATGTATTATAGGTCTTGCAATTCATGTGTAGGTCTATATTTTGTGAAGTGAAACTTGTACCTCTGTCATCCAATGTCTCCTGTCAAAATACTTGTAGTCACTCTGTTGAAAGATAGCATTAGTTCGATCAGGAGAAAAAAAAATCTGATCTTGGAGAATGGGTCATGTTCATTAGTAGTTGAAAATGTTTAAAGATTGAGAAAAAGGAAAACCAAACATCATATTAAATGTTACACCCACCTTTATTCTTATAATACATACAATTTGGTGACGCACAACCCAAAATTTTTTCTGAAAATTACATCTTTTCATAGTAGAATCAATATGCATATAGAGCAGAAAAAAATAATTTGGCATAATGAATATTAGGTTATAATTCTGGGTATTCTATAGTCAGGACATTCTGCTGTAATTTGCCTAGTTTATTGAAGCTGATTCTCAACCTAATGGGTCTCAGAGGTGAAGTTAAGCTGGTATTGACTTGGGCCTGTCCAGGAAGAGAATGACTTAGAGGCAAAGGACTCAGCCTTCAGCGTGGTCATCTATTAACATCTCTGATGAAGGAGGTCTGGTGAAAGAGGCGATGAGAGCTATTACATGGAAAGACTTATTGGATTATTTGCAGATTTTATTCCATTAGTCTATTCCTTGTGCTCATTTCCAAGGCTGATTAAAAACTAAATACATTGTTTACTCAACCCAAGGAGAGCATTCTCCTACAAGAACAGCTGGCTAAAGGGCAGACTTATGAGCTATTTGCAAAATATTCTGCAAGAAAGATCTTGGAAAAACAGTTTTAAATAGTCTTCTCCTAATGCTGTGGTTCATTTCCTAACTGCCTTGACTTATGTGTTCGTGTTGGGATAACATCTCTCATATCTTATCTAGATATTGACAATATGAGGTCAAAGTATCAGTAGCTATAGCTAAACATCAGATTCCTAACCTCAAAGAGTACTAGACAGTACTTGAGAAAGATTTCTAGTTTTCCTGCTGTAACCATGGTTTTCCATATGTTTTAAATAAACTAACTTTCTTTTTTTTTCAGTGGCAAAAATCGGATGTTTGAAGTCATTGGAGAGACACTAGAGCATGATTTCCCAAGCTGGATGGCGAAGATCTTGAGACAGCTTTCCAACCCCGGGCTGGTCATTGCTGTCGTTTTGGTGATGGCGTATGTGCTTTCTCTCCTCATGGCTTTTGTAACATTCTTTCTGGCTCTGTTTAAGTTTCAGCTTTTTCAGGTTTCTTGTTCTCCCCAAGGGCTGTGCTGTAACCTAACCAAATTCAGTACTGATTACATGGTGGAGAGGCTGAAATTCATGAGCCATGTTCTGATCCTATTGGATGTAATTCACAGCCATCTGCATCTGCCTTTGCCTCCCTAGGATTATAAGATTTGTTCCCAAGTAACCAAAATAATTATCAGTAAACAGCTAAAGCAAGGGAAACATAAACGCTAAATGCTAAATCTAATCAGCACGTTGAGCTTCCCCACACGACCTGGCCCCTACTTCTTGTTCCATAAAGCAGATGGCTGTGAATATACAGAAATGATGAACCTCTGGTTAATATTCCCCTTGGGGGCACTGTAGGCTGCATTTTAGGGCTGAGGGCTGAAGGGGTCTTAAAAATTGCTCTTAGACTTGTGTCAATAACTGTGTGTCCATGATGATAGAATCAGAAAATTGGAGGGTCTTGGAAAGATCCCTTCATATCCCGTCAAAGTCGGAAGTGATTTCCAACAGGGAACGTGGCAAGAGACTTTTGTTCCCATAGAGCTTTCATTGGCTTCTGACTGTTGGTGCCCACAGATAAACTCACCTTGTAAGTAAAACTACATGCTTGCTGTTAAAGCCAAGACAAGTACCCTTGGCCTTCCTTTCAACCCCCAGCCCCTCCTAAGTCAAAAGTCTGGAACTGCCACTACTCTTGGTCAAGGACACTTCCAGGGACACTTTAGGAACAAAATTAATGCAAAGGGTTGAGTTTGCTTAAAGTTAAAATGAAGAAATCACAGGGGAAAAACTCCTAATGGTTTGAAGTAAATGAGCAGGGTTTCTGACCCAGTTATTGTTATTGTTAGGACCATCATGGTCATTGTTGCAGTCACAGCCACATAAGGTAATTTTATAAATTAAGAAACTAACTTACAGGAGTAATGTGATTCCCCCAGGTGAGAAAGATAGTGAAATGGTCACAGTAGGATTTAAACAAGATCCTTAGACAGTAAATCTTTATACCACAACACCTCACTCCTTTATACCACAGCACCTTCTATGAGGGAGAGCTAAGAACCTGTAGGGATAATTACAAAACAGCAAGACAGACTGCTGTTAGACATTACAGATCATGGGGTGGTATTAAGAATCAGACAGTAAATCTCTGGCACAGATGTGCTAGAAAATGACCTGCCGAATGCAGCATGTTTCACCAGATGGCCCTTGAAGTGATCATTTTCTTTCTCCACATTTTTATGACAGGTACAGTGGCTTCCGAGAGCATGTTAATAAGTATGCTGTGACCTTTGAGAGTCAAGGTCCTTAGTGGTATAAATGAGATCTTGCTTAAAACACACACACACAACATACATGTCAGATTTTACTATATTCTTAATTTATTAAGAGACAGATTTGGGGGCCGGCCCGGTGGCGCACTGCTATAGTGCACCGCTTGGGAAGCGCGGCGGCGCTCCCACCGAGGGTTCGGATCCCACATACAGACCGGTTCCTGCTCACTGGCTGAGCGAGGTGCAGGAGCAACACCGAGGGTTGCGATCCCGTTGCCGGTCCCCGGTCCGGTACAGGGGCGACACTGAGGGTTGCGATCCTTTGCCGGACACGGAAAAAGACAAAAAAAAAAAAAATAAGAGACAGATTTGTTTTTAAGGCGTAACATTGTTCGAGTGCCCCTATCTAAAGATTTAATAGACTGTCTCAAGAGTATGGAAAAAGAAGTAATGCTGCCTTTATCCCAGGGACTATCCATTCATTGACCCGTTTAATTCCAGCAATATCCTTAAGAAATTGGCTTCATTAATCATATTATCCATAGGACATAGAAGATCTGCATGCAATCAAGTGGCTAATCAATGGAATTCAGCCTCATATCTTCTTATTCCCACTACTTATTTCCTCCACCCATTTGCATCACTGGAGTTTAGGATCGGTGGGAATGTCAGGACTGGAAGCCACTTGTCAGGGATGGTGTAGACCCAGAACCAGTGCACGTCTTTTAAATGGCCAGATAGTAGATATTTTAGGCCAAGAGGCAAAATTGAGGATCTCATTACATAACCATTAAAAGATGTAAAAACCATTCTTAGCTCATGGGCCATACCAAACAGTCTGAGAGCCAGATTTGGCCTGGAGGTCATAGTTTGGAATAGACAGCCTGGAGGAGAGCTGGGTCATATGAGTGTCAGATATATGTCCTAAAATGTTGAGGTTTTGATGTAAAACCCAAATTTCAGCTTATTGCTGATTTGATTGTTTCAAATCCTGAGGTCTCATCTTCTACTTTATGAGGCCCATACAGTTGGCTTGGCTTTTTATTGACTTTAATTGGAGAATGTTACAAGCATTTTGAATTTCCCCAATGGATCATATTAAATCAGCTTGGATAGTGTGTGGCTATCTGAGCAAAGTTCAGGTTAGTTCTCTGCAGGCAATTTCATTCCTTTGGAGACTAAAAAATGATTTGCGGGGAGTACTTATTTAAGGTGCATTGCAAGGCAGGAAAAAAGTGGTGGATAAATAGAGAATTCCACAACTATAAATGACTTGTGAGATCTTTGAGTTCATCCTCCAAATCAAGTGACTTTTTAAAGAAAATGCTTCTAATATATACACACACACACACACACACTCACACACACGCAAGTATTCAGCACCTATATGATGCCAGATATTACCCCAGATGCTTTCATGTATGTAATTTCAGTCAAACTCCCATCAGTCACATAAGAGATAAACAAATCCAGCTAAATCATATCAGTAATTATGTTACTAGCAGCAGATGGCTCATAAAGATTATTATCTGGCATGTTGGTGAGTAGAGGAAATTTGTTCACTATCAAGTTATTTGCAACAAAGAACAATATCAGTTATCTTTTTTTACTGTGTTTTTTCCCTTTATTCATTTTGCGTTCATTGAAGATGAGCGTATTTATTTTTATAGAATTGTATGGCCAGAATTTGCTCTTCCTTGAAATGTAAATGTCGTTTTAAATCCAAGAATATTCCTTTATAAAATGTTTTCTTTTTGAGGGAGAGAGAAATGCAAACACTGTATCCATGAAAAAAAAAATCCATGTTAACTAACTATGCCCATGAGGATTATATTCTTAGTTGTAAAGGCCAGAGGAAGCAATTTAAGGCAGAAAGTCATTTTCCTTTTTATTAGATGTGTTCTCTAAACTTTTGTAGAGCTTCCATATTCTTGGGTGCCATTGCCATCAATTTAAAAAATTACTTTTAATTATAATTTAAACTAATTTTTAATACATTTTCCAGGAGAAACAAATATTAGACAGTGTGGAATAGTGGTCAGAGCTTAGGGCTGTGGATGAGGAGCCTTTGGGTCCAACTTTCCAGCTTCAGCCCAGTCACTGTGTAATTCCAAATGCATTTCTTTACCTACCTCTCTAGACCTCAGTTTTTATCTACAACAGATGAGTTTTAGAGTAAAAAATATCTTAATGTGCACTGCCATGCTAACATTCTATGATTTAGTTAATGCAAATTTAAGAAGAATCCTGAGGAACTAACAAGTACCATCAATTTTATTATTTTTTTAAAAAAAATTTAGTTTGACCATCTATTATCTCAATGCTACTGCCAAGGGCCAGAAGTCAGCAAATCTGGATCTCAAAAAGAAGATGAAACAGGTAGGATACACTGTATTTCATAGAAAGACTGTCTTTATTAATGTCAAGGAGTAGAAAACACCAGGAAATCTAATTTTCTTCTTTTATCCTTTTTTTATTGTGTAGCAAGCCTTGGAGAACAAAATGCGAAACAAGAAAATGGCAGCTGCGCGAGCAGGTTGGAGAAACGTTTATGTGTGCAATTTGTATTTTTCTACCAACAGTACATCCTTCCTTTGTGTTTTTTCTGCAAATGGGGCATTTGATGGAAAGTGGTATTATTGTCCTGTGAAAATTGTTCCCCATCCTAACCATTTGATTAAGCCGTCCACCTTTTTGCTCCTTCTCAGGCAACACATCTGGGGGATCTGGTTGTTTTCTAGTGGGAGAACAAAAAGGAAATCAGGAATGTAAACTTAGCAGTAGTAATAAAAGAAATGACTTTGAAAATTGACAAAAGATGAAGAAAACACTCATATCCTCACATATTTATGGCAGACACAAATGCCGAGTCTCTCCTGCTCATTTTGACTATTTTTATACATAGAAGGGTACACTGGGAAGATCCCAACTGGGGCCTCAGAGCTCGCGCCTGTGGGTTGCCAGAAGCCTTTTCTAATCCATTAACCTTTTTTTTTTTTTTTTTCCTTTTTGTCTTTTTTCATGTCCGGCAACGGACTGCAACCCTCAGTGTCGTGCCCGTACCGGACTGGGACCGGCAACGGGATCGCAACCCTCGGTGCTGCGCCCGCCCCTCGCTCAGCCAGTGAGCGGGAACCGGTCTGTATGTGGGATCCGAACCCTCGGTGGGAGCACCGCCGCACTCCCAAGCGGCGCACTGTAGCAGTGCGCCACCGGGCCGGCCCAAACCTTTCTTTTTTTAACCTCCTTAATTTTTAAAATATTAGAATAAATAAGACTCCTATTTGCCAAAATTCGTGATATGCTTTGAGTTCCCCATGGAAAAGTGATACCTAAGAACCTTGATGAGAATTTTTCTCCACTTCTTTTTCCTCATTGCTAATTTTAAAACTTTTTATATTAGGAGGACTTCCACACTCCCCCCACCCCATCCCCCACCCCGGCCATAAATAATAATAATCTCAACTCAAATTGGTTTAATTAAAAAAGATAAAGTTATCAGTCCACACAAATGAACATGGAAGTGGTGTGTATGGCATCAAGACACTTTTTATCCTAATTTTAGAACATGGTCAGGGCTAAGCCCATTCATCTGTGAATCTCTCAAGACTAACCTCTTTTCATGTTGGCTGACTTTCATGGCAGCAGGGGTGGATACAGCAACTTTCAATGTCATGTCCTTAGACTGTGATACTAAGAAAATGTGATTTGGAGCAGCTCCCTTGGAAGAACAAGGGAACTTCTTTCCTGGAAGTCCCCCAGTGTCTCCTCCTTTCAGATTGGCCCAAATGGGTCATGTGTCCACCTCTGAACCACTTGCCATGTCTTGTTGGTAGAGCCACCCTTGGAGCTGGGATTGATCAGTTTCCCTGAAACACATGAAAGGCACTGGGGAGAGTACATCTACCTAAGAGAAGGGAAAAGGTGGCCCCAGCAGCATGTGTTCAAGACATTGTAATGTTGCTTTCTTTTGCTTACTTGTTTTATTGGTTTGTTTTGTTTTGTTTCCCCTTCCTCTCTAGCATGCAGAAGTGTAAGGTCAATTGCTGGGTGCTGTAATGGAATGACTATAGTAACTTAGTTATCACTAGTGTTGGTATAAAACATTTCATTTTTATCAACGTTACATGTGTGCATAATTTAGTTACATAATTCTACAATGTTTATTACATAAGACTGTTGTGAGGCCCCCTCCCACAAGAAATGCACGTACATGCCACTCGTGCAGAAAAGGGCAGTTTATTCACTCTAGCTGGCCAGCGTCCGTCTCCCAAGGAGCAACCAAGGAAGAACGACATCGGGCTTTGGTCTTCTAGGGTTTTTAAAGACAAAAACTACATCCGTTGGCACATGGGTTTGTCCGGGTGCACAAAGCAAGCTAGGGAGCTGGGTCACAGAAGCCAAGAATGAGCCGTTCGAGCAATCAAGCATACAAGGTTTCATTGTGTATGGTTCCTGTTCCCATGTAATAATTCACTGTGTATGGCTCCTGTTTCTATGCAATTGTTTTTTGTTTCTATGACAAAGTCAATGGTTTCTCATGCAGGGTTGGGGGGTAGTCTGCAGGTCAGGCGGGGGGCAAAATGGAGTTACTTAGGTTAAGCGAGCAATTCTACAGAAGCAGATAGTGTACATTATGAGGGTATAGGGAGCTCTATTTCAAAACAGCATCTCCTTGCCTCCTGTGCCATTGTGCCCTCTCGCCATCCCCAACCTCACACACCTCACTACCCAGAGACACTCTCAACTCTTTTAGTTGATTCTTTAGGTATTTATCTCCAAATTGCATATTTTTGTTGCAATTTCTTGACTTTTTCATTTTAAGTATTACCTATTAAAATTACTAACTACAGTGGAGATAAGAATTAGGCTCTTTTTTAAATGTTTGCCCCAATCTTTGTACACATTCTGCCTGTATAGTTACATTATTACTTTGGTTAGGTCAATATACATTATTACATGTAACGTTTTCGTGGCTGAGCTATGTAGTAAACTATGACTACTTGTGCATACTTTTTAATTTTCTCAGGATTCATAATTTTCTCTTTTTGAACATTTTCTTACTTTTCTATGTATTTATCAGTGATTCAGTCTCTAAATCTCTGCTATTTGTTGAATTATACTCTCAATATATTAGACGTATTGGGTTTTCTACGCATTTCACTTACTTGGAGAAATCTTTCCCAGAATCTTCTGAGCTTCTCCAATGTCAGCTGGTTCCTTTTATGTCTGATGTACGACTGCCATCCTTTGATTTTTTTTCCTCATGGCCTTCCAGAAGTATCTTTGTCACTCCATCCTGTTTTGGATATCCTGCTATCCACTCTTCTTCACTTCCATTTTTTTGGGTTGCTCACGTTTTAGGGAAGAAAGGAAACATGAGATAAATTTTCTGAGATCTTACATATCTGAGTCTTTCTTTTACCCTTCCTTTCAACTGATAGTTTGAGCATAGAAAAAACACACCTAGTTAGATTAAAAACAATATTTCTTCTAGATTCTAGAATTGCTAATGGGAAGTCTAAAGATATTCTGATTCTCGATCTTTCTTGAATGACTTGTAGTTTTGACTGTTTTACTTACCTGGACAGTTGTAGAATCTACTTTTTATCTCCAGTGTTCTGAATTTCATGATGATGTGTCTTGTGTGGATCTATTTTTGCTCCTTGTGTATTCATCAGGGGGCCCTTTCACTCTGGAAACATGCTCTTCAGTTGCAGGGAATTTTCTTGAATTGTTTGTTGATAATTTCTTTCCCCCCATTTTCTCTGTGGCATTCCTATTATTTGAATATTGGGCCTCTTAGATTAGTTCATCGATTTTCTTACTTTTCTTTCTTACACTTTTTTTTTGGTCACTTTGCTTTATGCATAAATATTTCTTTCACTTTAATTTTCAGTATTTCTGTTGGCTCTTTTTACTTCTGCTATCATAATTTTAATTTCCACAAGCTGTTTTGTTCTCTAATTGTCCTTTTTATTTAAATAGCATCCTGTTTTTGTGTAATGGCTGCAGAGGCATGTTTTGTCTTTATGTGAATATTAATAACTTTTGAAGTTTCTTTGCATTTTATAGTTTCTGTTTTCTCTAAGCTACTTTGTTCTTTTTTTCCCCCTCCCAATTGGTCTCTGTTAAAGCCTTTTCTCAGCTTTGTGATCCTTGGTGCTCACCTCATATTTCAGGGTGGGATTCAAGGTGGGTTTGGAAGCTTTAAGCGTGTGGGTAGGACTTGTGGACAGATCTTCACTGGAGGGATCTCCTGGGCTATTTGATGAACCCCCATGTGGGTATCTGGGATTTTCCTCTTGGGCTGATCAGATTCCACAGAAAAGTCACTTCCATACTTCCAGCTGGAGAGCAGAGGGTTTGCCAAGCAAAACTGCAGCACCTGAGTGAAAAAGAGGGCACAGGTCCCGGCGTTCAGCCCATAAATGCTCACTGAAGCCCATGTTTTCACTATGGTACTCCTCATAGTCTTCTAGCCATGAACATTTCTGTTTTACTCTTTCTAAAAAATATTCTTCCAGTCTTCTGCCAGGATAAAGAAGGGGGCAGTGACCATTTGTGCCAAGTGGAGGAGTGGATCTGGGCCTCTGCCTGCTTCTTAGAAGGACAGCTAAAGCTTCTTCTTCGTGTTGGTGCTTCACTTCTAGAGGTGTGGAAGTTACCTGTTGCTGTTAATTCCTGAGCCTTTTGGAGATGTTTCTGTATAAATTATGTTGCTTCCTGTCTTTTCCCTCTGCTGGCTTAGCATTTCAATTTGTTAGAATTAAGTCACTTATCAGTAATTTGTCTGCTTTCCAGCTTCTCAAATTTCATCATTGTGGTTTCCTTTCCTGCTTGCTTCTTGCTTCTCTTCTCCCCCTCCCCCCAACCCCCCACCA